GGAGAAGGGAGCGCTGTGTGGGTGTAGGTGTATACCCTAAAGGACTTTGATATTTTAGTGGTGGCATTATGCCTGAATAGCATTAAATAAACATTTTGTTTCCTTTTCACAAATCTCTGGCATTAAGAGATGTCTTTCCAATTGGCGGCGGACAGAAGGGCCCAGTAGATTTTAGTATTTTGTTTTTGGGAGGGGCCCCTGTTGTATAGCAGTTTTGGGCATCCCTAGGTGGGCCAAATATTGTATTGCCCCTCCCTCGGACCTCTTGTTGTTCGGTAACAGTTTCAAAGATATGTTAAATAGCTGTGGCCCTGCTTTGAGCTAGGGAGAAGGGATTGACTTCCACCCAAGATGTAACTAGGAGGCAACTCCCAGCCCCCCTTACAGCACCTGCGTGAGAGCTTGGAGATGATTGCCCAGACTCACTATGGCAGCCCAGTAAAACTGGGAGGATATGAGAGGCCTGGCAGGTGTAGCTGATTGTGGGAGGAGTCAGAAATGGGGCTGCAGAGGAAGATTGGCGCAGGAATTTAAAGACAGACACAGCAGCCATTGGGGAGAAAACCACATGTTTTTGGCCAGAATGGGAAATCATGCATCTATGTGATAGAGAATCACTATGTAGCTTTAGCAGAGACAACCACATGGCTTTGGCCAGAGTGGACCCCTCCCACCCTGCAGCCACCATGCGGATTCCTATTTCTTTTCCCAAGATACGGTACCTTGGATTGGGCAAAGGGGGAAAGAAGGACTGTGTGTGTTCGTGGTATTTTAAGGGACTTTGGGATTTTGATAAAGACATTAAGTCATTACTCTTAAGTCTGTATAACTTGAATAAATAATTTTCACCAATCTCTAACATGGAGAGCTATAATTCTCTGGCAAAGGGAAAGGTGAACCTAGTACAGGGGGACCCCAGGAGAAGGGGGGTCAAATAGGTAACATTGTGGGACCCCCTTCCCTGGAGGCCAATCTGGGAAAACCATGGGAGACCATATGTGCAGTAGCTTTACTACTACTTGTCACATAAATGCCTGCCAAAACTAGCCAGGAAGGATCTACCCTATAAGAATAGAGTCCTTCTAGCCTGTGAGGTCAGTCTCTGCTTGGAGTTGGTCTGCTGCCATGTTCTCTGCTATAAATTCTCAGTGTTCGGTTCAAATCTTTGTCCTGATCGCCAAGAATCTGGTTACCTGTGCCCACCTGTGACAGTAGAAAAGGGGAGCTAAAACTTAGTTGTCTCATTTTGCTTATAGTTAGCCTAAACCAGTCTCTGCTTTAGGCTAACTGTAGGCTTTAGGCTTTACAGATCACCTAATCAAATTTCTGCCTTTTAGCTGTACAACTATCCTACTGGCAGAAACAGTGACCCAGTTTGAAGTTTTTAGAATTAGGCTCCAAAGGGCCAGGTAACTTGTCTCAAGTGGCCCAGCTGCCAGCAAGAATTGAAGGCCTGAGGGCTCTCCCTGGCACCAGCATTCCCTCAGAGTAAACTTCATCTATTCACTCCCTTCCTCCTGGGGGAAGACTATGGGAGAGACCTGCTCCCAAGTCCAGAACACAAGAGCAGCAGTGGAACTGAGTTTTTGCACAGAAAGGTGAGCCTCCTTGGCAGAGTGCAGAAAATAGCAAATGCCACTGGCAGGCTAACCAGGATTGTAATAAGCCTGCTTAGGTTATCTACAGAGACTTGCTGTCCCTAATCACTGGAGTGGTCATTTTGGAGAATGGAAACCCAGAAACTCTAACCAAGGCTAGAGCCAGCAAAAAGCTGTCGGTGGTTCTTGACACTATATATGTTTAACTTCCAGTGCTAGTGAAGCCTGAGGTGACATATATGTTGTTTAATTTTATCTGGATACAAGCCCATTATGCAGATAAGCAAACCACCTCATCTTTTTGTATGTGTGTGAAACATGGTAGCAGTGAAGGAGCAAGTTGAGGCAGGATGACACATGAAGGGGTAAATGACTGGCTGGTGAATTATGGAACTAGAGTAGTGGTAATGGGAAGGGAAAGGGAATATAAAGGACTAGACACCAGGAAACTACTTGGGCTGAGACAAATAAAGGATGACTGTCAGCTTTCCTACTAGGGGTCTAGGAAAATGTCAATGCAATTAAAACAAATAGAGACATCAGAAGATGCTGGCTCCCTTGGTCATTTAAGTATCAGATATAATGAGTTCAGGGTGTCCGCTAGCATTCCAGGTGGAGATACCCAGCAAGGAGTTGGAAATGTGTATCTTTCTAAAGCTTTCTTAGGTGGATGGTCAAAGGTTAGGCCTCTAGGTTGAACTATTTTTCATATAGATATGTGGATTGAATTGTATAGAAAAGGCTGTTTTAAAAGTGTAAAAAGGCCCTGGCTGAGCCTGGCTGAGTGCATTGAGTATGGGCCTGGAAACCAAAGGATCACAGTTTGATTCCCAGTCAGGGCAAATGCCTGAGTTGCAGGCCAGTTCCCAGCAGGGGATGCACAAGAGGCAAACATACATTGATATTTCTCCCCCTCTCTCCTTCCCTTCCCCTCTAAAGATAAATAAATAAAATCTTTATTAAAAAGTGTAAAAAGGATTCCTGGCTGGTGTGGCTCAGTGGATTGGATTCCAGCCTGTGAAGCAAAGGATCATCAGTTTGATTCCCAGTCAGGGCACATGCCTCGGTTGTGGGCCAGGTCCCCAGTAGGGGGCATGTGAGGGGCAACCACACACTGATGTTTCTTTCCCTCTCTTTTTTCCTCCCACTCCTCTCTAAAAATAAAAAAAATAAAATCTTTGAAAAAAAAAGTGTGAAAAGGCAGTGAGAGACAGGTAAGCAGCAGGTGAAAAGCCTCATGCACCCATGGCTCCCAGGCCCTCCTGTGCAAGGTGAACTCCTAGAGCCTGTTACAAGTAGAAGTGCAAGTTCACACCTCCTAACCCCGGGGTTAGAAGGCCACTGTGATAGCTCTGTGGTGGGAGGGCTTTAAAAAATAAGAAAAAAAGCATGAAAATGAAAGTAAATAGGTAGTTTACAAGCAAATTAAAGAGGCAAAATATTTTTGTGTCCTTGAACTGTCAGAAACTGTGAAGGAGTTGGGAGAGAAGTATGCAGTCTCAGGAGTGGGATGGCTGTGTCACTCACTATCCTGTCTAACTTTCTGAGATCCCAGTAGTGGGGGTAGCCCTGGAAATTGCTGTGAATGTGTCTGTTACTGCCTCATATTTCTGCAAAAGTTAAAATGATCCTGTGAGAAATAGTGAAGGCAGATCACTACAGATAGAGCCCATATTTTAGAAATTGGTACATTTACCCAATGGAATACTATTCAGAAGAAAGAAAGAAGAAACTCCTACTCTTGGAGACAGCATGAGCAGAACTGGAGATCATTATGCTAAGTGAAATAATCCAGGTGATAAAAGACAAATATCACATGATCACACCTATAAGTAGAACCTAATCGACAAAGCAAACAAGTGGGCAATATAATCAGAGACATTAAAATAGAGAAAAAACTGACAGTGACGTGGTGGGGAGAGAGGAGGGGGATAAAGGGAAAGAAGGGACAGGAGCAAGTCAAGGAACATGTATGAAGGACCTATGGGCATGGACAATGTGGTGGAGATTGACTATGGGAGTAAAGAGTGGGGGAAATGAGGGTGGGAGAATGGGGGGTGGGCAGGGCAGGGGAGAGCAACAGGGTGGGGAGTGGGACGACTATAATTGAACAACAATAAAAAATAGCAAAAGAGAATTTTCAATGGGAGATTGCAATATTGAAATAACCACAGAAATATCCTGTTTAAAAGCCACCATAAGGAACCAGAAATGACAGAGACAGAAGCTGTGTTTTTTTCAGCTGAGTTGAGGGGTCAGGGATGGTCATGAGGCCTCTAGTAGCAGAGAGAGGCTGAAAGTTTGATAGGCAACCCTGGACAAGCTCTGGGACACATGAAGGCATGGCTGTGGAAAAGACAGGACAGCAGAACCTCTCTGTCCCCACAGCCGGTGGCAGGCCTCAGCTAGCCCCCAAGGGGATTTAATTTGCATCAGAGATAATTTTCTGAATTGCTGTTAGGTAAAAATTGTTAGTAGTGACACAGAAAAAAACATACAACTTAGAACTGGAGTCCAAAAGTTGGAAAGGGTTCCTACATTTATAAAAAACTTTACTAACAACAAATGAGAAATAAAGATTGGTAATGGGTGACTTCTCTCTCATATGTGAGAGGAAATAAGTAAAGGCAAGAAAACACAGAATTTCAGGCCCTTGCTGAAGGGCAGCAAAATCATTAGGAACTTATTATCATCTAGAAAATATATCAGTTTATAAGGAACTGGTAAGTTTTTATAAGTTAATAAATTGATAAAGGTAGGGTGAGGAAGAGTGTGGGGGTAATCTGCTTTGGCACTGGTAGACAGATGACAATGCTTTGGGGTGAGAAAGCCACATGTCAAGAAAGAGGACCTGGATTTGGCATTCGGGTCTTCTACCTGGCTGCACACTGAAAGGACTTTTTAATCCTTACAGCTTGTTTTCAACTTCTAAAAAGAGAAAATGACTTGGCCTAAAGCTGAAGACCTCTGTGCATTTGCTTGGCCAAGAGCTCAGATAGGTGCTTGTGGGCCTGTGTCACATGAGGCAGGACCCCATGTGTCTGGGGGCCTCCTTCCTTGTCCTGGAAGAGGACTCATCTCTGATCCTTTGTTTGTCAGGGTAGGCTGAGACACCTCTCCATCCTGAAGGGTATTAAGAGCACACAGTGAGAAGCTAAGGGTGGTTGGCAACTCTGGGAATCTGTGCCTGAACCAAGGAATCAGGCTGGCCTGACTGTGAGTGTGTTTGTGTGGTGGTATGAGAGGGGACAGCGCTAGGACTCAACCAGATCGGAAAAAGGAAGCAAAGTTATATACATCTTTCTGATAAAAATTGTTTTAATGAAGGATGGCATGCCAGGAGGAAGATTCAGTTGTGCTGATCATGGTCCCCCTGTGAGTTATTCTTGGATTCTTTGCCCATCAGTTTGACCCTCTTGGATTCTTTTTCAAGACATTCACTCTAAACCTCTTTATAGAGCTTGGCAAGTCTCCTACCTGGTATTTCATGCTGTAGGTCCATAACTGCTCACTCCACATATACTCAGGGGAGAGGACCTTGGAGGGTTTGTGGTGAAGCAGGTATTTGTTCAGGTGGCTCTCATCGTGCCACACAGCTTCGATATGATTGGCTTGGTCAACCATCATTGCCTGGTGGCAGGTCTTGGTGAGTCTGTAAACCTCCATCACCGACCCCCCAAATAGGGCCCCTGTGTAATAAAAGTCTCCCTCATCTTCAGGAATATGGGCTTGTGAATGAGGCCTGCGTTCTAGGGGAAGTTTTCCCGACTGAGGAAAAAGAAGCTAAGATGCAGGGTGCCAAACAAGGAGGACAGGATCTCCACACCCACATGGTCACTGAACTTCAAATCCACATCTGCACACACAAGGTAATCTACCTCCCGGTGGAATTGCTGCTTGGCGAAATTGCTGATCATTTCCATTCGGTGCATGGAGATGTCTTCCCAGCGAGCATAGCTCCAGACCTTGAGGATGATGATTTGCCTTCCTTTTTGGAGGTGGAGATGAGGCACATAGTCTGGCCTGTCAGTGAATATGTAGTAGTTCACCCTGTGTCCCACCATGAAGTACATCTCCGCAGTCTCCAGGAACAGCTTCAGGAAGACAATGTATGATTTTATGGCAAACATAGTCAATCCAATGGTGGTGTTCTGGAGGTGGAACTGCTCATTCAGGATGTCAATGTTGAAGGTTCCGTCCCACATGATGGGAGCCAGCCAAGGAGTCATGACAAGAACATCTTTCCTAGAGGGTGTTAGCACATCTGGCTGGGCTAACACCATCCTTGGTAATTCTACACCTTGCAGGTCATGGAGTTTTCTAACAGCGATGCTGGCCCCAGACTGAATGATTTCCACCCTCTGTTTTCTTGGGTTCATGTAACAATAGCCAAAGAAGGCCATGATGAGAGCTATTAGAAGAATAAAGGTCATTCGATGAAGCAAGTAACATTTTGGGTTTTGTGACAAAGTCCTTACCAGCTTGGCCATGGCTCCACTTCTGACTGTTCCAGCCTGGATCTCCTAGGGGTGCTAAGGATCTGCCCCTCCTTGACCTTTCACTCACAGCATCCTCTCCTGTGCAGAGTGAGTTAGAACACATGTACGATGAGGTGCTCACATCCCCTGTTCCTCTTAAGATCCTACCTCCATTCAGTGGGTGTCTGGACCACTGAGCTGATTAAGACTCCTGTACTGGAAGAAACTTGATAAATTCACTTCTGAATTGAGGTCATGTCAAAGTAACAGGGTGGTAGGGCTTAGTCACCTGGCTGCCTGGACTTCTTGGCCAGCATGTAGAAGAGAAGTCAAGGCTCCTGAAACAGTCTCAGGGGACTGGCTCAAGGGAGGCCACTGAGCAGGTCAAGGACAGAGATTGTGATGAAAGCAGAGCAAAGCTATAGCTAACAGACCTGACCAGAGAAAGCGTCAGAGGGCTTGTGCTCTGGCCTTCCCCTGATGCTTACTAACTGTGAGCTAAAAATTAAGCTTTCTAGAAAATCAGTAAAATCAAGTCAGACTGTCTTCAAGGTTATATCTATACTGGCTAACATGGGCGGTCCTTCAGGAGTCATGATTTGGTAACCAAGATGGAAGAGTCAAACTATCTAGAGATTAAGGATTGTTTTCCTTTGTTCCTCTAATAATCACATATAGTTTCACTGAGCATTTACTTTGCAGGTACCAGACTTTATAGTGTATGTAGTTAAGATTAGGCCACTAAACTTCATGTGCATTACATTGCTGACTCCTCACAACAAGCCTGGGGATGATGCTACATGATCCTCATGGTCAAGATGGGAAACAAGCTCAGAGAGGTATATGACTGCCTCATGACCCCACAGCTAACTGGTGAGTACTTAAGCCAACTAAGCAGCCAGACTCCAGAATATCCTGTCTCACATGCACCCTCTTCTAGGTTTCTGTTATTGGTTTCTTTTTTGAGTCAGATTCTTTTGGTTTTCTCCCTTAGTTTTCACACATCAGCTATCCGTCAGAGGCCTCAAGATAGTGAAGAGAGTTTGAGCCAGTGCCCTTTTATGACTCAGGGCTTATCACATTGCTGTTTCATACCACACTTTCCTATCCTGTCCTAGGCAGTTCCAAAGAAGAAAGATGAAGTTTCAGACACAGACCCCTCCTGCTACACTATGAGACAAACAGTAGTTGTTAAAAAAGAGTACTTGGTAGTTAAAGAGCACCTGCCACCTGTGCCATGAAGTGGTACTCGCATACTGCTCTGTGACACTTTGCTCCTGCCATCATGCAGAAGTGTGTAGCTGGAGACATGTCTTGTCCAGGGCTTACAAAGTCTTCTCAGTCGGGACCATTCTGAGCATGTTGGGAGTGGGAAAGGAAGAATGTTCTGATGAGTGTCTTTTAATGGAGTCATCTTTTCTGTGTGGTTTGAATTGTGACATTTGCCTAGGTGTGCACAAAGGTGTTAGCATAATCTTGATTGTCATCCCTGATCAATAATACTAATTTTGTGGCAAAAAATCAAGACAACTATGTGATATTGTAAATGCCAGAAAGCTGAAGAACTGTTTTAATGGTAAAATGACACTAGAGGATAAGGAGCATGCACTCAATGTGCTTGTGGTCTAGCTGTGTGTGTCTGTGGCCCTGGTGCCTGTCTGAGGAATCTGCTCATCCCAGGGCAGTGGAAGAGGAAATCCATTGCCCTGCCTGCCATGGCACTTCCCTGGATATCTATCAGGTTAAAGAACCTTACAGAATGAAAAGGTAGAGAGAATAGGGCAGACACCAGTGGTGTGGGGAAGGACTAGGAACAGAAGCTCAGTGTAGTCTTTGATCAGTTGAGAAGGCCCTGACTCCTCAGCTCTGCCAGGCCACTAGCCTGAGAGCCTCTGGACTCTCCTGCGAGACTCCATGGCACTACCTGGCCTGTGTGTCAGGACCTAGGCTCTTGCTTCACTGACTCCAGCCTTTCCAATACCAGTGCCTGAGTCCCCTTTAAACTGTTAATACTAGCCACTTCCATTGTACAAACACCTGTTTCTTTTTCTTTTTTAATTACTTTATTGTTGTTCAATTACAGTTGTCTGCATTTTCTCCCCACCATTCCCCCCACACCCCAGCCAAACCCACCTCCCTCCCTTGCTTCCACCCTCCTCCTTGGTTTTGCCCATGTGTCCTTTATAGTAGTTCCTGAAAACCCTTTTACCCTCTGTTCCCTCCCTGCTCCCCTCTGGCTATTGTTAGATTGTTCTTAATTTCAATGTCTCTGGTTATACTTTGTTTGCCTTTCTCTTTTGTTGCTTATGTTCCAGTTAAAGATAAGGTCTTATGGTATTTGTCCCTCACCGCCTGGCTTATTTCACTTAGCATAATGCTCTCCAATTCTATCCATGCTGTCCCAAAGGGTAGGAGAGCTCCTTTCTCTCTGCTGTGTAGAATTCTACTGTGCAAATGTACTATAGTTTTTTGATCCACCGGTTTACTGATGGGTGCTTAGGTTGCATCCAGCACTCGGCTATTGTAAATTGTGCTGCTGTGAACATCGGTGTGCGTAGGTTCTTTTGGATTGGTTTCAGGGCTCTTAGGGTTTAATCCCAGCAGTGGAATTGCTGGGTCGAAAGGCAATTTCACTTTTAGTTTTCTGAGGAAATTCCATACTGTTTTCCACAGTAGCTATAACAGTCTGCATTCTCATCAACAGTGCACTAGGGTTCTCTTTTCTATGCATCCTTTCCAACACTTGTTTGTTGGTTTGTTTATGATGACCATTCTCAATGGTGTGAGGTGGTATCTCATTAGGGTTTTAATTTGCATCTCTCTAGCTAGTGATGCTGAGCATCTTTTCATATGCCTCTGGGCCCACTGTATATCCTCCTTGAAGTGTCTGTTCAGGTCTTTTGCCCATTTTTTAATTGGGTTGTTTGTCTTCCCGAAGTGAAGTTGTGTGAGCTCTTTATATATTTTGGATATATATATATCAAACCCTTGTCTGAGGTATCATTGGCAATTGTGTTTTCCCATATAATTGGTTCTCTTTCATTTTAATGCTATTTTCTTTAGCCATGCAGAACCGTTTTAATTTGATGAGGTCCCATTTGTTTATTCTTTCCTTTATGCCCCTTGCTTTAGGGGACATATCAGTGAAGATGTTGCTGCATGGAATGTCTGAGATTTTCCTGATGATGTTTTCCTTTAGGACTTTTATGGTGTCTCGATTTATATTTAAGTCTTTTATCCACCTTGAATTTATTTTTGTGTATGGAGTAAGTTGGTAATGGAGTTTCATTTTTTTTTTTTGCATGTAGCTGTCCAGATCTCCCAACATCATTTTTTGAAGAAACTATTTTTACTCCAATTTATGTTTCTTCTCCCTTTGTCAAATATTAATTGACTGTAGAGTCTTGGGCTTTTTTTCTGGGTTCTTTGTTCTGTTCCAATGGTCTATGTGTCTTTTTTTTATGCCAGTACCAGGCTGTTTTGATTACAGTGGCCTCGTAATACAGTTTATTATTTATTTTTTAAAATCTTTTTCTAAATTAATATTTTATTGATTATGCCACTACAGTTGTTCTATTCCCCCCTTCATTCCCCTCCACCCTACCCCCCCATCCCCACCATTACCCCCCTTTATTTTATGACCATGTGTCTCAAATTCTTTAGATTCTATATTTCCCCTACTATTCTTGCCCCCCCCATCTATTTTCTATCTACTGTCTATGCTACTTATTTTCTGTACCTTCCCCCCCTTCTCCTCCTCCCACTCCCCTGTTGCTAACCCTCCATGTGATCTTCATTTCTATGGTTCTGCTCCTGATCTAGCTGTCCTCTTAGTTTGCTTTTGTTTTAGGTGTGGTTGTTACTAACTGTGAGTTTTCTGTCCTTTCACTGTTCATCTTTTTTATCTTCTTTTTCTTAGGTAAGTCCCTTTAACATTTCACATAATAAGGGCTTGGTGATGATGAACTCCTTGAATTTGGTCTTATCTGAGAAGCACTTTATCTGTCCTTCCATTCTAAATGAAAGCTTTGCTGGATAGAGCAATCTTGGTTGTAGGTCTTTGGTTTTCAGGACTTGGAATACCTCTTTCCAGCCCCTTCTTGCCTGTAAGGTCTCTTTTGAGAAATCAGCTGACAGTCTGATGGGAACTCCTTTGTAGGTGACTGTCCCCTTAGCTCTTGCTGCTTCTAGGATTCTCTCCTTCATTTTAATCTTGGCTAATGTAATGATGATGTGCCTTGGTGTGTTCCTTCTTGGGTCCAACTTCTTTGGGACTCTCTGAGCTTCCTGGATTTCCTGGAAGTCTATTTCCTTTGCCAGATTGGGGCAATTCTCCTTTATTATTTGTTCAAATAAGTTTTCCACTGGTGGCTTTTCTTTCTCCCTTCTGGTACCCCTATAATTCGGATGTTGGAGTGTTTAAAGATGTCCTGGAGGTTCCTAAGACTCTCCTCATTTTTTTGAATTCTTGCTTCTTGACTCTTTTCTGTTCGGCCATTATTTGCTTTCTTCTGGTCCACTCCATTGATTTGAGTCCCAGTTTCCTTTTCATCGCTATTGGTTTCCTGTGCAATTCCATTCATTTCAATTAGTTTCGCCTTCATATGTTTGTATAATTTGTGGCTATAATCAACCAGTTCTGTGAGCATCCTGATCACGAGTGTTTTAAACTGTGCGTCTGAGAGTTTTGCTATTTCTTCATTGCTTAGATTTATAGGCTCTGGGGCTTTGAGTTCTTCTTGAGCCATTTTTGGTCTGTTCGCGCCTGTTAAGTGTGAGTAGCAGAGCCTTGGACTCCCAGGTCGCTGGTTGTGACACTGTTTGTGGAGGTGTGGTCAGAGTGGGGAAATGGTGGTGCCCTCCACTGCCGCTTGCTGTGGGGACCCATTGGGTCCCAGTCCAATCGCCCATGAATGCACGACCACACTCAACCCGCAGCCCTGTTCCGTCGCTGTTTCCCTGTGGTCGCTGGGTCTCTCACTAGGTCCAACCCTATGCCTGGATTCCGCATG